CAAGTGTGCATTGAACCTAAAGCACTGTTCGATACGGTTTGATACGGGTACATGTATTGTTGCACCCCTATTAATAACATAATAGATTGTTGACAGAGGAACTAAGTTTTACTGCTTCTAAAGAAAAAAAACATCAGTAACACATTTCCAGAAAGCGTGTGAGATATTCTCTCCTCACATTGATTTTGTTCTGGTGGTTTAAATCAAAATCGTAAGAGACACCTGAGCTCAGTCCAGAGCACACCAGTGGAGAGTGATTTCTATAGAAAGCATGTTATAAACAGCACAGAGGGGGACCACAAATCTTGTCATTGACACAACAGTCTGAGTGAGCGTGTGGCTGCGGATGTGTGTGCATGCCTGCCAGCTCCCAGTCTAGCGCTATTGTCTAACAAGGTCTAATTAGCACTATGGCACAATGAATTAGCATAATTATGCAAACAGGGCTGCGCTAAAGGCCTGGCACAAGGGAAGGCTACGGGGGGGGGGGGGGGGGGCACCTATTACAACACACACATGCAAATGTGCACATACACACACATAATCACTGTGACACTGGAGCAACATATTGTATAAAAAGCACATGTGGCTATGACAAAACTGCAAGTTCTATAAAAAAAATATCTACAAACTTGTCGAACAATAGTAAGTTTAAAAAAAGATTGCCAGCCACCATGTACAAAGCATGATTTGTTTTTTTATAAAATTCTTTGTAGAGTAATACCCCTCCTTCTATCATAAATACATCCACCTGCCAGTAAAAGTTCCCATACCTCCACAAACATGAGATGTACACAGAAATGATCAGCTCCCCGCCACGCTGCCTTACAGTACTCATGCAGTCAGGGCTTATAGTATTTACCAGCGGGGGTGATAGGTGAAGTCGGTGGGAGATAATAGGGATGACAGAGAGGCTGAAAGGCTGGTAACCATTCGCATGATGACAGCTGTGGTGAGGAAGGCTCTATTAGGCTTCATTAGGATGCTTGGCTCTTGATTACACACACACACACACACACAAACACACACACACACACACACACACACACACACACCCTTGTTTTCATCCCTTCAGAGGACATTTAGTTGTCATCATTTCCAGCACATTTCTAACTATTATCATAATGACTACTTGCCTTAAACTAAATTGTTCGTTCATTTCTAAACTAAAGCTTTACCCTAAATGTATTGATTTACATCCAGGCAATGGCATATTTCTTGTTCGTTAGACTTAAAAAGCAACTCCCCACAAAAGCATGTAAAAATTTGAGGCTATTCACTCAACTTTAAACTTAAGAGCATTCAATCACATAAAAACTTTTGGCTGAATAAGTATTTATATATGGGAACATTTGTCAGTTGCCGTTACCTCTAAGTGAAATATGAACCTAATGAGTAACCTCACAGTCCAAACAGCCCTCTTATAAAAAAAAACTACAATGTCAACAAGCTCTAAACCCTCTTAATCACATCCACACATTCTGTGATGCATTTGAGTCACTCCACCCCAAGGGACCTGTATTCCTTAAATCCTGACCCCTTAGAAGGGAACAAGCACTCCTAAAAACCCAAAAGATGCTTGTACAAAGCTTTCCTGCAATTACAAGTCCCCACCGTCAACTAAAACACCGAGGAGGTCACAAGTTCAGAGTTCAATTAGTTCAAAGTGATGAACTCTAGTCTGACAGAGGTTTAGTCGTTTATTAGCGAGACATAACGAGCTACAAATGTAACTGCCATTTCATGACCTCTGTATGGCCACAGGAACAGGGGGGCTTTTTACAAGAATGTCTTTTAAAGTGCAAACATGAGTGACAGTCACCACTGACCTGGAAAAGGATACCCTCCTGTAACATACCTGTGTGACCCAAGATTCAACGTTCATGTTGTGCTGGTAAATGGTTTTATTCTATATATTTTTTAAAATGTATAAGTAGATTTTATTTATTCTACCTTTATTTGTTCCTATAATGTTCCCTACAGTATTGTTATACAATCTGACGTATATGATTTGCTATATCAATTTTTTTTTATTTGGTTATATTCTTCATGTTCTGAAGGGTATGTTTGCCAAGTCTCGTGAAGATTATGATGTCAGCCTGACGACAGATTCTCCATTTCCTAAAATCTTTATTGAGATGCCGTGTCTGCTCCTCACCTCTTCTAATAAAACCATTGACTCTGGCTTATCTTCACTTTTAAGAAACAACATATTGTTCACGTACGTACACACTTGTGGAACAAACACAATGGCAGGAGAGGGGGGTCCTGCTGTGAGCGGGTAGCACTTTTAAGCTGAATCCACACATTTTGGATGTGGTGGGTTAATCCGGCCAGGCTTTTTAGCCTGCTATTCAGGAGGACAAGGACCACAAGGATTTGGGCTTGTCCACACCTCAGGGGTAAGGGATTATCAAGACAGCAGGAAAGGTGGAGAGAGTGTGAGAGTGGGTGATTGGAAAATGTGGTTATTAGCATGGAGCAGAAGTGGATTGTTACAAGTGTTGTACCTGTCTGTATATCTTTAATAGAGCAAACATACATGTGTGGGTTTGTGTATTTAGAAAGGTTTCTGTCTGACTCCCACCCCCAAAAACATACCCCGGAGCTCTGACGGGGTCACCTCTGGGCCTTTCAGAGCCTCCTCTCAACCAATCCTAATTGATCTCACGCATTACTAGTCCCAAACATGAGATGGAGAACAGGAGGGAAATGGTTGCCCCATTGTTTGAGGAACGAGGTCCTTTTGCTATAGTGGCTTTACACTCCTTACACACACACACACACACACACACACACACACACACACAC